GATTCGCCTATTTTTCAAGGTCAAAGAGCCGGCTTTGAGATTTTGGGGACGTCAGGCCATCTTTTGAGATAACTTACAGAGTGTTGAACTTGGGGATGAGTAATTAAGGATGACTAAACAATCAGAGGTAATTAAATAAAAGCTGAAAGATCAATTTTATTTTTTATTTTAAAGAGAGAGAGAGAGATGGCAGAGAGAAAAAATAGAGAGAGAGAGAAAAAAAAAAGGCAAAATAAAAAATAAAAAATGTATTAAAAACCTTTGAAGAAAGTAAAACTTTTCTTTGAAATTTTTTCTTTATGATTAATAAATATAATATATGTAATAATTTTGTTATGAGGGCCCTCGTCAAGATGAGGCATTAGGCGATTGTTTACCCTGCCTATAGTCAAGGCCCGTCTACCAATCGATTCTAAGTTTTTTCTTAGTAATTTTTTTTTTTCGAAGTTTTTACGCCTACGAATTTCTTGTGTCTAATTGGATCAGATATCAGTCTGGTTCTCGATTTCCCTTCTAATTGGGCGATTTGGTCCACTTCTTATAACATTGGTGTAAATTAAGTCCTTGAAGGAAATGACAAGAAACTATAACATAACTACATTTTATACAAATAGTAAAAGTGAATAAATAAAAGCTGAAAGATCAATTTTATTTTTTATTTTAAAGAGAGAGAGAGAGATGGCAGAGAGAAAAAATAGAGAGAGAGAGAGAAAAAAAAAGGCAAAATAAAAAATAAAAAATGTATTAAAAACCTTTGAAGAAAGTAAAACTTTTCTTTGAAATTTTTTCTTTTTGATTAATAAATATAATATATGTAATAATTTTGTTATGAGGGCCCTCGTCAAGATGAGGCATTAGGCGATTGTTTACCCTGCCTATAGTCAAGGCCCGTTTACCAATCGATTCTAAGTTTTTTCTTAGTAATTTTTTTTTTTCGAAGTTTTTACGCCTGCGAATTTCTTGTGTCTAATTGGATCAGATATCAGTCTGGTTCTCGATTTCCCTTCTAATTGGGCGATTTGGTCCACTTCTTATAACGTTGGTGTAATTAAGTCCTTGAAGGAAACGACAAGAAACTATAACATAACTATATTTTATACAAATAGTAAAAGTGAATCAAGACACACTTTTAGAAAAATATTTATCTCGTCACTGATGATGTGCTTTTTCGCACTTATCTCATACTTAATTATCGAGCTTTTGTTGATTATTTTGCTTGATTTTAAATATTTGTGCTTATTTTAGTGATAAAAGAGTTGAAAAAGACGCAAAAAGCAATGAGAGAGAGCGTGTTGAAATAAATGGTTGGACGCTACATAAGAAGTAAAAAATGGGGAACACCACGGGGTCAAGCTCGTCCAAGTGAGCATATCTATAAGTAATAAGTTCTACCCTAGCTCCTATATGATCGGTATTTAGTTGCACAGTGATTATGAGATTGACATTGGACTCACAATTCACTTTACTACTTGTCGTGATATTGTGCATTTGATCAAGCACCCTTCTATACTCAATAAAGCTTGCTGTAAGAAGATGAATAGGGTTGGCAACGAGCCGAAATTTGATGCTCGGGTTTGGCTCGAGCAAAATGGGTTCTACCAAACTGAAATTTCCGATGCGGAAAATTTAAAAAGTATCCAAGTGCTCTTTCGAGTATGGAACGAAAACTACATCTATTAAAATTGCTCCTAAAAAGCAACTTTTAAAGCAAAACCTTTTCAACAATAATTGGGTTTGGGCACATATCAATGGCTGAAAATCTTAAAAAGGCAGTCAAGGCAGAAAAAGGAAAAATAATAAATGAAGAGATCATAATTTACATTAGCCACTGAAAAGATTAGAGGCTTTTTTCTTCAGTTTATTTCTTCTGAAAATTCCTCCAGCTTTATGTATAGTGAAATAAGCACTAATACTCCTTTTAAAGAAAAACAAAAGAAACAAAGTAATGGAAAAGACAGCTGCCTATTAAAGTTTATAGCTAAGCTACCAATGAAAATGGATTTCCTAACTTGGTCAAAAAGATCAAAAAGGGAGAGAATAATATATGGCTGTTGCACTCTGAAATCAGCATTCAGATAATTTGATTTTAGGTTACTTAAAGGAAATGCTAAGAAAGTAGATTAATCAAAAGAGATCCATGGAATTTTAAGGAAAAAATTGAGCCGTTTGATGTACTCAGCCTATCAATTTTGTATCACGTCGGTTTTTTAGTGGTTGCAAACAGTTTATTATTTACAAGACACGAGTCATGAATGTGGAACGATGTTTCAGGAGTAAAAGTTAAAGTAGCTAAAAAGCAAATAATTTTAATTCCGTGCGACAACTTTGTCGTTAACAAGACGTGTAATGAATGTGAGGTATTTATGTTCGTTTCTATTTTCTATCAATATCGACTAAAGTATATTGAAAGAGAAATTTGCATGCATTTAATGAGCACCAAAAAGTTGAGTTTATCTTATAGTTTATCTCCTCCTTTTCCAATTAGTATTTATCATTAAACAAGTTACCAATGAAGTCCCTTTTTAGGTTGGGCTAGTGTCGCCATAGAGGTGGATACCTTTGTAGAAGCCCCTCGTGTGAGGAGATTCCACTATAAAAAGGCGGATTGGGATCAACATGCTATAATGCTAATTGATTGGGGACCAATAGTGCAATTTATGTTTAATTTACAATTAGTTTTTTTTTTTTAATTTGAAAAAATGATTATGCCAGGACAAAAAAATCGAAAAACCGACCAAACCAATCACACCAAATCGACTCAAGCTGGTTCGAGTCGGTTTAATACAGGTAATTGGTTTGGTTTGATTTTTTTTTTTTTTT